GCATTTAAAAGAGGTCCCCGGAGATTTCCCTATGGGCTTTCGTCTTGCGAAGCAAGCCCATAGGGAAATTCGTTTTGCGAAGCGCCTCCAAACGGAAAACCCTTTCGTCTAGCGGGTTTTCCGTCTTGCGAGGTGTTCGTCTTGCGGGGTACCACTGTATATTGTGCTATGGAGAACTGTAGAATAATAGCCAATGCTCTTGAGAAGCATGGATACTGTTTCTAGCTTGTGTGTGTGTGTGTGTGTGTGTGTGTACACAAACACAAACACACACTATACTTTACTGCACTGATATGTTTAAATGTTTCTTTGATTCTTCTTGAACTTTCCCGCCACACTTGCCGTCCGCTCTTGCCACACCAGTGTGGCGTGCCACACCCTTTGAGAAACGCCATTCTGACTTAATACTTTGCAAGACCAAAACAACAGGTGGAGATTTTTTGGCTTGTGAACAGGTTCAGGTTTAGCACATTAATAATTTGGGTCATGATGGAGTCAGGCCTAGGCACAGCGCGGCCAACGTCTGAGCAGACGTCTATAGAATTGCACCGTTCACATTTCCGTTGTTTGCAGTAGGGAAGCTAAGCACAAGCTTTAAGACTTTCCCACGGGAGTCAGTTTTTATTTAAAACAGATCTACTTTGCCTTTCCGGACACCTGAGGCAGTGTACCAAAAAAAATTAAAGTTTAAAAGTTCAGAGATGCGCATGCAAAGCTGGCTGGTAGAAGCAGACTTTCTTATATCCGATCCCCAGTCACCTTCCCATATTTCTTCTAAGTGTTGGGCAGGTGGGTTGGGAAAGTCACCTTCTGCTAGTCCTATACAGCTCATGTATTTCTGGACCCAACCCATATTCAGGTATGGTGGGTGTTTGGAGAAAAGGTTGGATGATGGTGAATCCCTGGAGTCTGCCTCTGTTTACAGTCTTAAGGTGAAATGTGTGTGTTGTGGTGGCCACCATCTTTTGCTGTTGTTTAGTCGTGTCCGACTCTTCGTGACCCCATGGACCAGACAGGCACTCCTGTCTTGCACTGCGTCCCGCAGTTTGGTCAAACTCATGCTAGTAGCTTTGAGAACACTGTCCAACCATCTCGTCCTCTGTCGCCCCCTTCTCCTTGTGCCCTCCATCTTTCCCAGCATCAGGGTCTTCTCCAGGGAGTCTTCTCTTCTCATGAGGTGGCCAAAGTATTGGAGCCTCAGCTTCAGGATCTGTCCTTCCAGTGAGCACTCAGGGCTGATTTCCTTCAGAATGGAGAGGTTTGATCTTCTTGCAGTCCATGGGACTCTCAAGAGCCTCCTCCAGCACCATAATTCAAAAGCATCAATTCTTTGGCGATCAGCCTTCTTGATGGTCCAGCTCTCACTTCCATCACCATACATCTTAGATGGTTCTAAAAGACTGTTGGACAAATTCAAGGAGGGTGAAGTTATCAATAGGTACAAACCAAAAGAGGTAGGTTCTGCCTCCACTTCTGGAAGCAGTGTGGGACTCATAAGTGGGGAGAGCGCTGTTGCCGTTGGGCCCACCTTCTTGGCTTCCCATCAATCTCTAGTTGGCCACTGTGGGAAAGGGATTACAGGACTATATGGGCCATCAGCTAGCTTTTCTTCCGTTCTTATGGGAAGAGGTAGCAGACCTCCAAACGGGACTCATTAAGGTGCTATGTGGGCTTCAGGTTATCCCTAGAACCCAAGACCAAATGTGGAATCTGCATAGCACCTAAGAGAACTGTTGCTAAGTGTCATTTGGTTTCTTATGTGCACACACACACGCAGAAACAAGAGTTCAGAAGTAATCGAAGACCCTCACAATATCCAGCTTGATTTTACTTACTTTCTATATACAAATATTCTTATTAATAATTTTATGTAGCAGTGGTTAGTTCTCAGCTCCCCATTTTTAACTTTAGTTTTCAAAAGGGCATCTCTTGGGGGGGGGGAATTATGCCTTCTATGGCAGAACCACTCTGTTGCCTCCTTGATCTAAAATTGTAAATACTAATAAATGTTAACGTTTCACTGAAAGCGGCCTGTTACGATTTGTCTTGGTCAGATATAGTGTGTAGCTCGGGCACGTCCAAAGTCCAGCCCGCCGGTAGATTTAATCCTGCTCCTGTGGTAGTTTATTTATTGGGGTAAAATTATAAAAAAAGCTGAACCACTTAAATTCCACAAAAAGCTCAACAACTTCAGTCCTAAAAAAAGGCCATCAGTTTTGGTTGGCCCTCCTGCATGTTCACTTCATCAAATCTGGCCCTCTGAAAAAAGTAGTTAGGACACCCCTGGTGTAGCTTTTAGAAATAGCCAGTTAATGTATCAGTGATGAGCTGAAAATGGGCTTAATTTAACTTGTTCATGTCTTTTTAATTTAATGTATTAGTTTCATTAGTTTTCTTGTGTGATTTTTGGAGATCTGTAGGAGCCGGATACTATTTAAAGCTTAACAGATACACTCTTGTCTTAAAAAAATTCAGGTTTAACCGTTCGATTTACATTCTGTGCTTGCTTCAGAAAGTTTTCTGTTGATTTAAAAGTTCACAGGCAGCAAAACTACTTTTGTGTGTGGGAATCAGCCAGAGCTCTTCGTGCTTTTGCACGTGGGCGAAGCAACAAATTTTACCTTTGCACAGTGGGTTACTTGTACACAAACTCTCTCAAACGCCCATCTTCTCTCCATCTGGACAGGCAAGGAGCATTATCCTGAGCCCAAGGACACATTTCAGCCAGGCAAAAACACTTGGGATGTGAAGCAGCAGGGCTGATGAGGGATACGGTTTCCGGGGAGTTCTCGAGTCAGATAGCGGGGCCACATTCATCACTTGGGCATAAGGTTCTCCACCCATAGTTTAAATGGTCGGAAAATTAAAGGAATAGCCCTTCAGTAAAGGTAAAGGGACCCCTGACCATTAGGTCCAGTCTTGACCGACTCTGGGGTTGCGGCACTCATCTCGCTTTATTGGCCGAGGGAGCCGGCGTACAGCTTCCGGGTCATGTGACCAGCATGACTAAGCAGCTTCTGGCGAACCAGAGCAGCGCGCGGAAATGCCGTTTACCTTCCCGCCGGAGTGGTACCTATTTATCTACTTGCACTTTGACATGCTTTCGAACTGCTAGGTTGGCAGGAGCTGAGACCGAGTAACAGGAGCTCACCCCATCGCGGGGATTCGAATCCGCCGACCTTGTGATCAGCAAGTCCTAGGCTATGGTTTAACCCATAGCACCACCTGCGTCCCTAGCCCTTAAGTTAAATTGAAGTGGTTCAAAGTAACTGTTGATCAGTGTTTTGAAATCAGCTAGGCACGTTTTTCACCTGGCTATCAACCACTTGCAACCTGACTCCAGGTTGGCACCTGACATTTCCACAGTCTGGAAGGGCATGGCTGGGGGAATCATTGGATCTCGCTTGTTTTCACACACTAACACCACATCCTGTAGAATTCTATCAGCTATATTTTATCTGCACAGTTAGAATGAATTTCTGGAACCAAAGATGCTTTTTTCTGTGCAGCCAGAGCAGATGACAACCTTGAACTGGGTTAAGAACTTGGAGAACTTAAAGAGGAAAAGTCACTTGATTCAGGGACAGTAAGAGAACTGTTGTTACGTGTCATTTGGTTTCCTGTGTGTGCGTGTGTGCGCGTACACACACACACACACACACACACACACACACAGAAACAAGAGTTCAGAAGTAATCGAAGACCCTCACAATATGCAGCTCGATTTTACTTTCTGTATACAGTAGTACCTCAGGTTACATACGCTTCAGGTTACAGACTCCGCTAACCCAGAAATAGTACCTCGGGTTAAGAACTATGCTTCAGGATGAGAACAGAAATCGTGCTCTGGTGGCGTGGCAGCAGCAGGAGGCCCCATTAGCTAAAGTGGTGCTTCAGGTTAAGAACAGTTTCAGGTTAAGAACGGACCTCCGGAACGAATTAAGTACTTAACCCGAGGTACCACTGTACAAATACACTTATTAATAATTTTACGTAGCAGCGATTAGTCCCCAGCTCCCTGTTTTTAACATTAGTTTGCAAAAGGGGTATCTATTTTTTTGGGGGGGGATTTATGGCAGAACCAGTCTGTTGCCACCTTGATCTAAAATTGTAAATATTAATAAAAGTTAATGTTTCACAGAAAGCGGCCTGTTACAATTTGACTTGGCCAGATACTACATACATATTGGCCTATTCTGACCACTTTTTCTTAACGGTGACTGCTCAGACTTGCACAGAAAAGGCATTTTGCTTCCTGAAATTCATTCTAATTATGCAGATAGGCATGAACCTCCATATGGTGATATCAGACGCCATCCTCGCACCTAGGCATCTTTGCTTGGTCGCATGTGGTCAATAGCCAGGTGAAAAATGCGCCTGGCTCCTGGCTAATTTCAAACACTGAAGATGATTAGGTTTTTTTTGGTTTTTTTAACATTGAACCAGGTCCCGGTCCAGTACAGTGGTACCTCGGGTTAAGTACTTAATTCGTTCTGGAGGTCCGTTCTTAATCTGAAACTGTTCTTAACCTGAAGCACCACTTTAGCTAATGGGGCCTCCTGCTGCTGCCGCACCACCGAAGCATGATTTCTGTTCTTATCCTGAAGCAAAGTTCTTAACCTGAAGCACTATTTATGGGTTAGCGGAGTCTGTAACCTGAAGCATGTGTAACCTGAAGCGTATGTAACCTGATGTACCACTGTACTCTCTTTGTTGTACCATGCAAGATCCTGTAACTACAGTGGTACCTCAGGTAGCAGGAGGCCCCATTGGCTAAAGTGGTGCTTCAGGTTAAGAACAGTTTCGGGTTCAGAACAGACCTCCAGAACGAATTAAGTACTTAACCCGAGGTACCACTGTAATAAGTTTGTTCACCAGCAAACCTCCCTCGCCATCCAAAGCACAGACGTTTTGTAAGAACCAACGAGGGTTGGAAAAGGCATCTGGAAGTGGACATTCATTTTGTTACCCTTATTCTTCTTCTACTTCTTCTTTTGCAGGGCTCTCCACCCACCATGGCCACAGCGTTGCCCAGAACCCTTGGAGAATTGCAGCTGTACCGAATCTTGCAGAAAGCCAACCTCTTGTTCTACTTCGATGCCTTCATTCAGCAGGGAGGGGATGACGTCCAGCAGTTGTGCGAAGCCGGGGAAGAGGAGTTCCTGGAGATCATGGCGCTTGTTGGCATGGCCAGCAAACCTCTTCACGTCCGAAGACTGCAGAAGGCTTTGAGAGACTGGGTGACAAACCCAGGCCTTTTTAACCAGCCTCTTACTTCCTTACCGGTCAGTAGCATCCCAATATATAAGTTACCGGAAGGATCTCCTGCTTGGTTGGGAATCTCATGCAATAGTTACGAAAGGAATAGTAATACCCGGGAGCCTCACTTGAAGATTCCAAAATGTGCCGCCACCACCTGCGTTCAGAGCGTCGGTGCGGGCAAGTCCGACGGGGTGGGGAACTTGACGCTGCAGAGCGGCAGCGAAACGAGACTTTGGCAAGGCCACCACACTACAGAGAGTGAACACAGCCTTTCCCCAGCCGACGTCGGCTCTCCGGCCTCACCAAAGGAAAACACGGAAACCCTGGACGCGGCGGCGGCCCTCTCGGTCACCGAGTGCGTCGAGCGCATGGTTCCCACCCTCCCCAAAAGTGACTTGAACGAAGTGAAGGAACTGCTGAAAATCAACAAAAAGCTGGCCAAGATGGTGGGCCACATCTTTGAGATGAGCGACGAGGACCCTCACAAAGAGGAGGAGATCAGGAAGTTCAGTGCAATATATGGCAGGTTTGACTCGAAAAGGAAAGATGGCAAGCATCTCACCCTCCACGAGGTAAAATGGCGCGAGCAAGAATCACTTTTCCCTGTTCTTTCCCAGTCTTCTCCTCAGAGGTTCTCTCGTCCTCATGCCGCACCAGCCCAGATACTACATTTTTCTTAGGGGAAGCACAGAAAATCCAAATCTTGTCAGGCCAGTAATAATTGTTAAGGCAGCAAGCAAGACCTTATAACATAATATTTGTACTTCTTTGTGTGCCTCCTCCACAAGAGGTCCAGAAGGTGGTAACACGAGAACGGGGCCTTTTCTGCATTGGCTCCCCGTCTGTGGAATGCTCTCCCCAGGGAGGTTCGCCTGGTGCCTTCAATATACACCTTTAAGTGCCAGGCAAGAACAAACTCTTTAACCAGGCCTTTGCCTGATTCACATCCAGTGCCCTTTTAAAATGTGTTGGGTGTTATTGGGTTGGGTTTTTTTAAAAAAATATTGATTATGTATTTTGTGTTTTTATATTTTGATTTTATCTTGTGAGACCTGTGAGTAATAACAATAATAATAATACTTGGGCGCATTTTAAAAGATGCATCATCTAACCTGAAAGTTGTCAGGTGTCTTTCTGAAGAACAGGCTGCGTAGCTAAAATGGCACTTTAAATGGAAAGCTGCGGTTTTTATTCTGTGCAATTATTTATGTGTTGCCTTTTAACCCAAAGAAGGTCCCCACTTTAGCTTAAAAATAATAATGTGAGAAACAGATTAAAAACTGGGGCAGGTGTGGATCACCTTTAAAAACAGTCTGGAATTAATGGATTACAGTGGTGCCCCGCAAGACGAACGCCTCGCAAGACGGAAAACCCGCTAGACGAAAGGGTTTTCCGTTTTGGAGGCGCTTCGCAAAACGAATTTCCCTATGGGCTTCCTTCGCAAGACGAAAGCCCATAGGGAAATCTCCGGGACAGCGGGGAAGCGCAGCGCGTCTTCCTCACTGTCCTTGGACCTCCTCCGAAGCCGGGCGGCGGGGCGGGAACACCTCCTCCCGCCGCCCGGCTTCGGAAGGATGCTCCGAAGCCGGGCGGCGGGGCGGGAACACCTCCCGCCGCCGCCCAGCTTCGGAAGGCTCCTCCGAAGCCGGGCGGCGGGGCGGGAACACCTCCTCCCGCTGCCCGGCTTCGGAAGGCTCCCCCGAAGCCGGGCGGCGGGGCTGGAACACCTTCTGAAGGCCGGCGGGGGGCAAAAGTCTTTGTTCCCCCCTGCCTGCCTTCCCAGGGGCTTTTAAATCGCCCCGGACAGCGGAGAAGTCCTCCGCTGTCCCGGGGTTTTTTAAAATGCTGGGGGTGGGAAGAAAAGCCCTTGTCCCCCCCCCCAGCCTTCAGAAGAGGTCGGGGGACAGACTGTCCCCGGACCTGGTCTGAAGGCGGTTTCCATAGGAACGCATTAATTGATTTTCAATGCATTCCTATGGGAAACCGTGCATCGCAAGACGAAAAACTCGCAAGACGAAGAGACTTGCGGAACGAATTAATTTCGTCTTGCGAGGCACCACTGTATATAACTATACGACCAGCAATATCAATGGCCTTAAGGATAGGCATGGCTTAAGTCAATTTGTCTCCTGCGTTCTGCTGGATGCCTTTAAAAACTGGCCCAAAACTGGGTGTTGTAAGAAAGTTTCAGTGGCCTTCCTAAAGCTAAACAAAGATGAAGTCAGTCTAAATTTCCTAGGAAGGGGGATCCATAACCAGGGTGCCAACACAAAAAAGACTCTGCCCCTGTTTTCACCAACAGAAACTCTTTGTGGGGCATAACAGCTAGATCTTAAATCAGCTTTATTTGGGAGAAGGCAGTCTTTCAGATATCCTGGCCCAAAATTGTTTAAGGTTGCTGTGCGATCTTGCAGAGTCTGACCTCTTAACTAAAGTGATATTGCCTAGACTAAACATTTTGTTTCCTGCTCTGGTTGGTAAAGATCGGCAGTGTAAGTAGCCTGTTCCGTTAAGCTAGACCAGAGTTTCCCAAACTTGAGCCTCCAGCTGTTTAATTTTTAGACTACAAATCCCATCATCCCTAGCTAACAGAACCAGTGGTTACAGCTCATGGGACCTGTAGTCCAAAAACAGCTTGAGACCTAAGTTTAGGAAACCCTGAGTGTGACCAAATGAACTGTGTGCACTTAATAAAAGGCCTAACACGCAAGTCTTAAAATTAATCTTGATCATTGTCCAAGCAAAGAACAGTTCCATCTCCAAGGAAGGGTCTAGCAGACTATAGGCCGAATTCTCTAAATTATAAAGTCCCTCAATTCACAAAGGAATGAATCTTGTCATTCGCTTCAGGAGTATCTCTTTACCAAATTGCATGTTTCTATGTTGCACGTTGTAGCTTTAAATTCCAGGCTTAACCATCCTTGTTTGTTTGGGTACTATTGACGAACAGTTACAGTACATGCAACACAAAGCAAATATTGTGTCAGCATTTCTTCATTTTACAGTTGATGCAACATTTCCCCCCTCACAATTTGGGGAACACTTAGCGAAGTATTTCCTTTCAGAAAATGCAAGATGAAAAAAGAAGGGCGTTGTAATAGTACTTCCATCCACCAGAGTTAAATTACTGGCTGGAGCTCTGTGAAAATCAATGGTCCTCTGACTTTAAAGCTGCAAAACTCTTTTCTTCTCGACGAAAAACTTCCTGAGCAGCTTTGCAGATTTTTAAAAAACTCATTTAGACAAACACATTTTCTCCTGTACCACATGATGGATATAAATTTATTGTGTCAATGTGTGTACTAAAGTCTAAAACGAAAGAGATCCTCTCTTTTACCTTCAGATAAAACAAATGTCTGAATAGTAGTGTGGCCATTTCAGGGATGCAGACAAATTGCACTGTGATGTGAAACGCTAATCCAATGGTATTAAAAGATTTTGCTTCCCTTATAAGGAAGGTACAAAAGTTGGGTTCAAAGCCATGGTTTCCTTAAGATAAAAAAAAGGTTTTGATTTGTGTACCACCTAAAAATTTAGCACTTTTTTTTTTTAAGAACATGAGCTATAGTCAGATGCTGAAATGGATTGAACAGAAGGAAGCATATTTTGAGTTGTGGTTGCTTGGATTGTAGAAGAAAACTTTGAGGTGGAATCTTCATCTGGTGATGCGTTTTCGTTCTTCCATCAAGTTTTTAAATGAGAGTGAAATCCATAGTTGAAACAAGTAGGCTTTGCACATAGGTTTTTCTATTTTGTTCCAATTTCCCACCTAAATTGATTTGGTTAGGACAGGAGTGGCCAACTCCCGAGAGACTGCGATCTACTTTCAGAATTAAAATCCGGCAATGATCTACCTCCACTTTTTTTTTAGGGAGAAGAAAAGCCCCGTTTTTGAGGGGTTCAGGTCTAAGTTGTTGAGCTTTTTTTAGATAGAAGGATAGCCCCGTTTTTATACAAATACTTTCTTAGGAGGGATGTTCTGTTTTTGGTGGGGGTTAAAGGCAAGGGTCAAAGGAAAAGTGGCACTCTCAATAATATAGCATTGAATGAAAATAGCCACAGAGAGAAAGCTCCATCTTCCCTTCTACTGATCAGACAACAATGGAGGGCAGAGCAGGAGTCAGTTTCAACGACGCTGAGGAGAGGGAGCCAGAGATTGACCCGCAATCTACCAAAACCTCGCGGGGATCTACCAGTAGCATGGCCAGGAAGGTTAAAGTGTTCATCTGTGGATTTGGTGGCGTTGTGGGTTAAACTACAGAGCCTAGGACTTGCGAGTCAGAAGGTCGGTGGTTCGAATCCCCACGATGGGGTGAGCTCCCGTTGCTCGGTCCCTGCTCCTGCCAACCTAGCAGTTCAAAAGCACGTCAAAGTGCAAGTGGATAAATAGGTACCGCTCCAGCGGGAAGGTAAACGGCATTTCCGTGCACTGCTCTGGTTCGCCAGAAGCGGCTTAGTCATGCTGGCCACATGACCCGGAAGCTGTACGCCGGCTCCCTCGGCCAATAAAGCGAGATGAGCTCCACAACCCCAGAGTCGGCCACGACTGGACCAAACGGTCAGGGGTCCCTTTACCTTTACTTATTCTTTTGGTCAGATTTAGGTTATACAGTGCTACCTTGGTTCTCAAACTTAATCCATTCCGGGAGTCCCTTCAATTCCCGAAACCGTTTGAAAACCAAGACGCGGCTTCTGATTGGCAGCAGGAGTTTCCTACACTCACGCTGCGTTGGATGTTTGGCTTCTGGAAAATTTTCGCAAACCGGGTTTGCAGCGTTCGGAAGCCGATTTATTTGACAACTAAGCTGTTCGGGAACCAAAGTACCACTGTAATCGGTTTGACTGGCCAAAGATAAATCAGTTGACTGCCTATTACTTGATTGCAGTCAAATACTCAATTAAGCAAAGAATGCCAATGTTTATGTGGATCTTACTTACCCCTCCCCCTTCATGATGGTGTAATTGACTAACAAGGGCAGAAATGACAGCAACACAGCAAATTTCTTCCATCGCCTACCTGCAATGATTGCCTATACCTCCCAAGTTGGAATGCAAAGCTGTCACTGGTGCGAAAGGTCTCTCCCTAGGGCAGCCAAGGTGAAAAACCAGTGAAAGTTGACTCAGACGCTGCTTATATTTGGCTTGCTAACTAATTAGAACAGCAGCCTTCAAGAGCCGACACACTTTTTTAATAGTTGGTGGTATTTGCTTCATTTCTGCTTTTCAATTTACTTTTTTCTTAATTCTAACTGTAGACTTAACTGGTGTTCAAAGGGAAAAAGCCAAAGAGAAGAACTGTTCTGTGAATTGTTCGTATTTATAGAAATCTTCTTAGCACCGTAATAACTTTTGATGCATTGTAATGAATAATATAAGGGACGCGGGTGGCACTGTGGGTTAAAGCCTCAGTGCCTAGGACTTGCTGATCGAAAGGTCGGCGGTTCGAATCCCCGCGGCGGGGTGCGCTCCCGTCGCTCGGTCCCAGCGCCTGCCAACCTAGCAGTTCGAAAGCACCCTTGGGTGCAAGTAGATAAATAGGGACCGCTTACTAGCGGGAAGGTAAACAGTGTTC